AACCTCCATGGACAGTGAGCATTTACTGACCATGTGCACTGGGACAAGTTACTTAACCTTCAAAGCCCTGGTTTCCTTATCTGCAGCATGGAAGATTTTATCTTCTCCTGGGTTTAAAGTGAAGAGTAAATGAGGTCATGTACATGAAGTGCAGATCTGGGGACACTCTTCTTTAGTTAAGTTGAACAAGGTAGAAATCAGTAAATACAAGCTTTAAAAAGTTGGACTGGTGAAAAATGTTCCCATAATTTACTTAACAGATATGGACCTCAGATGGAAATCACTGAAATTATGATAAAAGTGTAAGGTCATGACTTTTTATTATAGTTTCTAGAACTTTCAAACCCTCTGAACAGTATTTGTCACTTAAATATATGACTAAAATAACATGTCATATATAGTTACAAAATGGTAAATTATTTCCCAGATAGTCTTGCTGAACATCCTAAAGAGAAAAATATCTTTCTTTGATAAAACATTTCTATAACAGAAATAAAATTAAGGTCAAGTATTCATTGTTTTTTTTTTTTTTGAAAGAAACCTTACACAAGATTTCAAAAGTATGAAGTGTTTGCCATTTAAAAACACTAATTTCATATTTAAAAGGTGCATTTTAAACATGAATTTGCATGCATAGTATAAAATATTTCATGTTTTAAATCTTTCTAAAACTTGCTTTTTAGTCTAGCTTTACAAATCCTATTCATTGTATAATTTTCGTGCTGAAGAAACTTGAATCTTCAACATATAGTGGAATGAATAATTGGGAAATAAATTTAAAGAATGACATTACTTACATCTAGAAAAGACAGTGTCAAATTGTTACTTATTTGGAGAAAAGAGACTATAAAATGGGATAAAATTCAGTAATTTTAGAATAAAAATAAAACAAAATGAATTTATTACTAAGTAAATATGTAGTATTATAAATCTTCCAGTGGATTCTTTTTTAATAAGTGTTTTTTATTTTGGGTTGTGCTGGGTTTTCACTGCTGCCTGGGTTTTTCTCGGGTTGCGGCGAGCAGGGGCTCCTCTCCAGTTGCCGTGTGAGGGCTTCCCATTGCGCTGGCTTCTCTTGTTGCAGAGCACAGGCTCTAAAGCATGTGGGTTTCAGGAGCTGTGGCTCCCAGGCTTGAGAGAGCAGGCTCAATAGTTGTGGTATATTGGCTTAGTTGCTCTGTGGCATGTGGGATCTTCCCAGATCAGGGATCAAACCCGAGTCTCCAGCATTAGCAGGTGGACTTTTTACCACTGAGCCACCAGGGAAGCCCTTCAAATAGATTCCTATGTCTGATTTCTCTGCTTGATTATAATCTGGACTTATTACTTGGAGGGCACTTTTATTATCTCCCCCACCCCTGTCTCACATTAGCAAGGGTGGTGAAGACTTTTTTTTATGTATTCATGGATAACCCAAGTCTTGTCTTGTCAACAGGACAGAAAAGAAAAGAAATGGGCTTTGAGCAGAAACAACTTTTCCTGGTGTTTGTCGTAATTGTTAGTTTGTCTTCGGTCACTGCAATATAAAAACAGTCCTTTAGTTTTCACATGAACGTTGGGGTCTCAGCAAATGTTAGGTCCTCTGACATATTATTTCATTATCATCTTGATTTAGAATCTTTTTGAAACTTGTTGAAATTCTTTGTAGTTAAAGCCCAAATCAGAGAACCAACACATATCTCAAAACTGAGAGCTAAAACTCCAGAGAGCCACATGTTTTTATTTTTTAATTATCAAGTACATTCACTAGAAGAAAAAACAGGCTGGTGCAAGGGTGACTCAGGCTGCCTGGGTCCAGCTGTACCTGAAGCAGAGACACATGCATCCAAAACAGGGGAGCTTGGTGCTTTCAGAACACACTTCTGTGCTTATCGCCGAGGGCCCCGAGTATCATCACTGACACTCATCACTTCACCAGTGACCCCCCTGCCCCAAGTTCTACACAGTGGGGACACGTTTACCAGTTTTCATACTTCTACAACATGTGTAGGGGAAGAGTCAAATATATTTTTACTAGAAGATTCTTCACATGGGGTATACATCTGGGCAAAATTTACACCTCAGTGCCCAACACTGTTTTTCTCACTTCTTATTTTAATGGAATCAGTTGTCTAATTTGGTAAATAAGTTTTCTAATTTTATATTAGTCTTGACCTTCTTGAGGTTAAATATTTATTGACAGACTTAACAGTCACACAGTTGAAAAAGAAGAGCCAAGTAAAACACAAAGAGATGAAATTTCCTATTTTATAACCTCACACTTCAAAATACATAGTCAAATATGACACTGTTACTCTGGAACTAAAGGAATAAATAATCCAATGTAAAAATTTAAAAACATGTGTTAAGACTTAAATAAATATTAAAAAAATTTAAGACTACAAATCACTTACATGCTTCAACATGAAACACCTTTTTTTAAAAAGTAAAAAAATATTTGGAAAACTGTTGCCAGTCTAGCCAAAAGCCACTTTTAGTTTATGTGTATCAAGTTATACATACGATTCATTCAAAACAAACACATTTGTTACCTTTTAATGCCTTTCTTATTTGGAACGTTTTGAATACACAAAATCCTGAAGCTGCTTATCTTTATTTTAAATAAAGTTAAGTTTCAATAGCATATATTTCAAATCCAAGCATAACATCACACATATAACCACATTACAAATATAATAATATTAAACTTAATAGACATTTTAGCATTACCAACACTTTTTCTTCGTACTTGCTGAGTAGCAATTATAGTTTTTCTTTATTGATTTTCCAACAATGGTAATGTAATTTTGATGCAACTACTAATAATGCAAGTGCCATTATTTTGATCAACAACAAACACAATGGTTCGTAACAAGCTCAAAAGGCCACATTTATTTCTCCACCCATACCTTGCTTCTGATTTTTCTAGATTCTTTCATAAGGATAAAACGTAGTAGATCCTTTCTTCCTGGCCATCTGAAATTTCTGAACTCTGACGAGAAATTCCATTTGGTTTAATTTGTCATTTCCTTTCTATACATTTGGTTCTTTCCCTCTTCATTCTTCAGCTCTTTACTAGGAGAAAATGACACATGATGTACTAAATGAACTTAGTGTTTTTTGATTACAATAATCTTGGCACGCCCAGGCAACAACACAGGTAATAAGACAGTGTTCAACACACACACACGCACACGCAACCAGAGGACCAACATATGGATTTGTCTTCTTGAATGTACTCTTAGTTTAACTTGTAGAATTAAATTCTAGCTTGCCTCTTGAACAAACTGTTAAAGTCTTTCAGTATCATCAGCAGTTGCTCAAGGCCTGCTCCAGCACTGATCAGTTAATTTAAGCAAGAAAGAAATACATCTCTCAAATATAGACAATAAGTACTGCAAACCTTGGGTAACTTCCAAAATTAAGTGCAGGCAATCAGAGTATGAAAGTCTTCATTTGCTGGAAAAAAACTGTCATGGATGCTGCTTCAGGGTTACTGACTGGAAAGCATAGGCCATTTTATTAAACAGCACTCTTTCATTTAGTCTATGACTGTGTCTACTTTTAGAAGTGGGTTAACTATGATGGTTTTTCCAATAAATCCCCAAAATGGCATGTGTCATTTTTGATTGAGCAAGATAGTGATGGTTAACTATATATCTAGATGCAGCTTTGAACTAAAACAAATTATACTATTAATAAAAATCAAGAACCAACAGGCAGATGAAACAAGAAGTTGCTTCTTTAGAGGCCATGTGGTAAGTATACCACGATTAGAGGGTGATAAACGAGGGACTGAACCTGAAATTTTTTAATGCAATTGTTCATGTATCAGTGATGAGTATCTGGACTTACACACAATTGTTCTGTCTTCCCTCTAAACAGAAATGGCTTAACATTTGGTTGCTCTCAGGAAACAAACTTCAATCTAAGGATGATGGCCAACTGCTTAGCTGTGGTCAATTCCATTGATCACTCCTGAGAAAAGCAGAGGCTAGAGCATTGCACTGGAAAAAAGGAGGCGCTAATAACCATTGCCGAACCCTAACCAGAAGGGCTAGGGAACATCTGTGCCTTTAAGGTCAGGCCCAACCTTTTATTTTCTTAAATTTATTTTATTGAGACATAGCTGATGTACTATGTTGTGTTAATTTCTGCTATACAGTAAAATGATCCAGCCAAACATATATATATATATATTCTTTTTCATATTCTTTTCCATTACAGTTTATGGCCCCATCTTAAATAACTGGCTGTACTACCCTTTTATATGAAAAACATTTACACAAGGGGGAAAAATCCTTTGTAAGACATTGTTTCCTGATTTTAAATTTGCTAAATTAGCATGATGTATAGAAGCCCCAAAATGTTGCCAGTGAACATGCTCACAAATGCAACTGAGGTAGAGTTTAAAATGGTGCAGGTATGGTGTGCCAAGGTGCAATCTCCCCAGGGGCAAGAAAGGACAACACCCTGTCCTGGTGGGCATACGGTAAGTATGTAAGGCTTGCCTCAGATTAGGGTCTGATAAAAAGGGGACAGAGGCTCAAGCAGATGCTGAGCACAAGCCACCCAGAGACCCTACACACATCTGTAAGGAACAGTCAGAGCGGTCAAGGATCTCAGAGGGTTAAGGAGGGAAGACAGTGAGAGGAGGGGTTAATGGTACTGGCGGGACGAAAACGAGGAAGAAAAACAGAAAAGGGAAGTGGCGAGGAGGACAGCTGGAAATGAGCGAGCTGGAAGCTGCATAAAATGGGACAGGACAGCATAGTCAGAGATGAACAGAGGAGCCAGGAAGAAAGGAGTGGAGCCTGACGGGGAGCTAAAGCAGGCAGTGAAGACAGCACGGTTATGAGCAATGACTCAGATTAAGAGGAAGGAACACTGGATATAGAATGTCAAAGACGGTCTGTGAAAGGGAGCAAGGAGACAGAGGGGAAAGGGGGAAGAGATAGGCAGGTGCACACCCTGGACAGACAGCGGAGGGCCAGCTGACGCCAGGGCGCCGGCGAGGGGCCTTAGCAGCACAGTGCCGGCTGCCGACAGCCCGGGCACGGAGCCCCGGGGACGGCAGGGTCCTGCTGCCACGGGAGAGACGCCATCTCACCACATGCTGGGTGACGGCCTATCTCCTCACAAAGGAGCCCCACAGCCTAACAGAGAGGGGGAGCAACAAGAGAGGGCCTTCTAAAGGCAAATCATGTGAAAAGAGAAAGGAAGATTTCACAGCAGGGTTTTAAAAATGAACATGCAACCAGGTCAGTGTTTGTATGTTATGAAAAATAAGATTCATAAAAATACTGCACCCTACTCCACAAGAAAATCAATCCAGTGAGTATTCCCCAAAGGTTTGCTGTGTGGCTAGACACCAGGAGAATTACTAGGGGGAGAAAATGTGAGCATATTATAGCCCTTGCCTTGAAGTATTGGGTTAAACCCAAATAGATGTTTTGGCCAACCCAACATTACCATTTAATCAGAGTTAAAAGGCAAAGCACTGTGCAACAGAAATAACTCTGAACTCAGAGCCAGAAGATCGAGTCCTAGTTTAGGCACTTTTAAACTCTGGATCTGAGACCTTAATTTCTTTAAATGCAGAAAGAAAGGGCTGTATTAGAAAATTTCTGAAATTACTTTCGTTTTAAAAGAAATGATCAAGTAGTATATATAACAAAATATGCTGAGTAGAAAAATCAGAAAATACACACAGTAAAATGAAGGATAAAAAAATCACTACAATTCCATCACTTAGAGATAACTACTCAAATTTGTTGATGTACATTATTCCATATTTTATGTATATTATATAAAAATTATTTTATAATCATTTTACTTACATACTTATCACTTTCATTTTTAACTTACAAATTTATAATCAATCTTTCCATGTCTATGAAAATACTTCTGTAATATTTTACTATTTTAATAGTCACATGGTATTCTATTTTATAATCAATCCTTTATTCATAGAAATTGATTTTTTCCCTTCCATTTTGAAAACTTGAAGGAGTAGCCTTTTAATTAAATCTTTACATATATACTTAAATACTTTCCTACAGTAAATTCCTGGAGGTAGAACTGTTAGGTCAAAATATATGAACAATTTGAAAACTTAAGAAAAAGCTATACCCTACAAAGGATTATTTTAACACTATTACCAGCAGTATATGAGAAAACCCACTTCCCCACTCTCATCAACACAAGGCTGTAAAAGTCTGAAGCTTGCTGCCATTTCATGAAGGAAAAATACCATCTCATTTACTGATTTAATTTCTATTACTTTGATCACTGGGATTGGACATATTTCAGATTTTCACTGATATGTATATCAGTGAAATATATATACATATATACATATATATATATATACACACCCCTTTAAGAATGTTCTATGTATCCTATGGGTCAGTTCTCCTATTGATAATCTTTTCCCTGTTGATTTTTTACAGCTTTTTATATGCTGAGGGTATTAACCCTTTGTCATATATTTTGTGAAATTCTTCCTGATCCCAGGTCACTGGTTGTTTACAGCTTCTGCTTATGCATTTTTTTTTCTCTTTGACATAAATGATTTTAAAGGTTCTGTTATTTAGATCTAAAAACCTGTTTCAAAATATGCTTTCTAATTCTGATATCAGTAATAAAAAGTCATTCCTTAACTCTCATGATCCTACAATTATTGATTTATAAGCTTTCTGTATGATGAGAAAAGTAATGTGATAGAGTTTAACATTTCACTTTTAGTAGCCAAACTTCTCTTCTACCAATGGAGAAAACAGAGGTCACCTTCTTTAGAAAGTCCTTTCCTGTCCTACTTCCTCTCTCACCAGAAAACATTGTCATTTTGCCCCACCTGCCTCTCTCAGTGGAAAAGGGAATCCTGCCTTCTTGTCTCAAATTCTCCTCTTTAGTTATCCCCTTATTCCACACGTCAACCAGCTCTTCTCAAGGGGCTCTTGGTTCTGGGTTTATTGTAACTCCATCCAATATAAAGATTTTTCTCTACATCCTGTGTTTTCCACTAGCTACTGCTCAGCCTTTTCTTTCCTTTCAAGTCCAACGTTTGGGAGAAGTGGCCTCTTCTGACAGGTCTTCTCCCCGTGGGCTGGAGACAATCTGACTCACGTTTCCAGGATTCTCATTCAAAACCTTCCTCTCCCAGGTCACAGCCTCTTGGGTGCCAAACCCAAAGGCATTTTTCAGTCCCTATTTGCTTCTGCTCTCTTTGACATGTGTCCTTGTTGACTATGCCTTTTCTAAACCTCCCCGTGGACTCCGTGACGTGAGTCTCTTACTGATTTTTCCTAAACCTCACCATGGACTCCGTGATATGACTCTCTCCTGGTTCTTCCTAAACCTCCCCGTGGACTCCGTGACGTGACTCTCTCCTGGTTTCTCCTAAACCTCCCTGTGGACTCTGTGACATGAGTCTCCTGGTTTTTCCTAAACCTTCCTGTGGGCTCCGTGACGTGACTCTCTCCTGGTTTTTCCTAAACCTCCCCGTGGACTCCGTGACGTGACTCTCTCCTCGTTTCTCCTGAACCTTCCTGTGGACTCCGTGACGTGACTCTCTCCTTGTTTCTCCTAAACCTCCCTGTGGACTCCGTGACGTGAGACTCCTGGTTCTTCCTAAACCTTCCTGTGGGCTCCGTGACGTGACTCTCTCCTGGTTTCTCCTAAACCTCCCTGTGGACTCTGTGACGTGAGTCTCCTGGTTTTTCCTAAACCTTCCTGTGGGCTCCGTGACGTGACTCTCTCCTCGTTTCTCCTAAACCTCCCTGTGGACTCCGTGACGTGAGACTCCTGGTTCTTCCTAAACCTTCCTGTGGGCTCCGTGACGTGACTCTCTCCTCGTTTCTCCTAAACCTTCCTGTGGGCTCCGTGACGTGAGTCTCCTGGTTCTTCCTAAACCTCCCCGTGGACTCCGTGACGTGACTCTCTCCTCGTTTCTCCTAAACCTTCCTGTGGGCTCCGTGACGTGACTCTCTCCTGGTTTTTCCTAAACCTCCCCGTGGACTCCGTGACGTGACTCTCTCCTCGTTTCTCCTAAACCTTCCTGTGGGCTCCGTGACGTGACTCTCTCCTGGTTCTTCCTAAACCTTCCTGTGGGCTCCGTGACGTGACTCTCTCCTCGTTTCTCCTAAACCTTCCTGTGGGCTCCGTGACGTGACTCTCTCCTGGTTCTTCCTAAACCTTCCTGTGGGCTCCGTGACGTGACTCTCTCCTCGTTTCTCCTAAACCTTCCTGTGGGCTCCGTGACGTGACTCTCTCCTGGTTCTTCCTAAACCTCCCTGTGGACTCCGTGACGTGAGACTCCTGGTTCTTCCTAAACCTTCCTGTGGGCTCCGTGACGTGACTCTCTCCTCGTTTCTCCTAAACCTTCCTGTGGACTCCGTGACGTGAGTCTCCTGGTTCTTCCTAAACCTTCCTGTGGGCTCCGTGACGTGACTCTCTCCTCGTTTCTCCTAAACCTTCCTGTGGACTCCGTGACGTGAGTCTCCTGGTTCTTCCTAAACCTTCCTGTGGGCTCCGTGACGTGACTCTCTCCTCGTTTCTCCTAAACCTCCCTGTGGACTCCGTGACGTGACTCTCTCCTCGTTTCTCCTAAACCTTCCTGTGGGCTCCGTGACGTGAGTCTCCTGGTTCTTCCTAAACCTTCCTGTGGGCTCCGTGACGTGACTCTCTCCTCGTTTCTCCTAAACCTTCCTGTGGGCTCCGTGACGTGACTCTCTCCTGGTCCTTCCTAAACCTCCCTGTGGACTCCGTGACGTGACTCTCTCCTGGTTCTTCCTAAACCTTCCTGTGGGCTCCATGACGTGACTCTCTCCTGGTTCTTCCTAAACCTTCCTGTGGGCTCCGTGACGTGAGTCTCCTGGTTCTTCCTAAACCTTCCTGTGGACTCCGTGACGTGAGTCTCTTGGTTCTTCCTAAACCTTCCTGTGGGCTCCGTGACGTGACTCTCTCCTGGTTCTTCCTAAACCTCTCCGTGGGCTCCGTGACGTGACTCTCTCCGTGACGTGAGAGGTGGCTTCCTCTCACCTCGGTGAGGGTGGCTTTCCGGCTCGTCTGCCCCGTCTCCTTCCCCTGTGTGTCCACGACGTGTCCTTGGTCCTCCTGACTCTGTTCTCTGCCCCCCTCAGAACTGCAGGAGGGGAAGTGTGGAGACAAGGAGCCAGTGAGAAAGCTGCTGCAGCAGCTCAAATAGGGCTCTGACTCAGCAAAGTGGCAATGGGAATAAAAAGGGGAAATAAATGGGAGGATCTGAGAGAAAAATATTCAGTAGACCACATGAGCGATTATATATGTGACTGGGAAGCAGGGAGTTGCTGAAAATAATGTAGAGATTACAATTCTTAGCTGGTTGGGCTCCTTTTTCTACTGTATAAAGGGACAAGAATAAAATAAAACCCACTTCTCTCAGAAAAATATTAGCCTTGGAAAAACCAGAAAATTTATCAAATTGTGTGTGTGTGTAAAAGTGCAGGAGATCCCTCAGTGACAAAGAAGGGATGAAGAAGTTTATGTAAAGAAAACAGTGATACCCCAACGTGTGAGATGGGAATGCAGGGTTTCAAATGGTTTCATATTAACAGTAACATAGAAGATGAATATTTTATGGATGTATATGCTGGGAGGGATTGGTGGCAGGAGGAGAAGGGGACAACAGAGGATGAGATGGCTGGATGGCATCACCGACTCGATGGACATGAGTTTGAGTAAACTCTGGGAGTTGGTGATGGACAGGGAGGCCTGGCGTGCTGCGATTCATGGGGTCACAAAGAGTTGGACACGACTGAGTGACTGAACTGAACTGAACTGAATACAGTAATGCAAGTTATTAGAAAATACAGAAATCATGAAAAAAGGGAAATTCAAAGAATGGAAGGCAAGGTCTCCTCTCCTGGATGTCCAGGAATGGTGGTAGACATTGTGAAAGAAAGTGAAGGGGAAAGTCACTCAGTCATGTCTGACTCTTTGCAACCCCATGGAGTGTAGTCCATGGGATTCTCCAGGCCAGAATACCAGAGTGGGTAGCCTTTCCTTTCTCCAGGGGATCTTCCCAACCCAGGGATGGAACCCAGGTCTCCCGCATTGCAGGTGGATTCTTTGCCAGCTGTGCCACAAGGGAAGCCGAAGAATACTGGAGTGGGTAGCCTATCCCTTCTCCAGTGGATCTTCCCAATCCAGGGATCAAACCAGATGCACTGCAGGCAGATTCTTTACCAACTGAGCTATCAGGGAAGACATCATGACAGAACTCAAAAAACGGTTCGAGAATTTCAAAATGAGGCCATAAAGAGGACTGAACAGTGACTGCTGTGGACTGAATTGTGTCTTTCACAGGTTGAAGCCCCCAAAGTTAATACATCTTACAAAGGAGGTCTGGCCTTTAAAGAACCCCCAAAGTTAATACATCTTACAAAGGAGGTCTGGCCTTTAAAGAAGTAATTAAAGTTATATGAGGTCATGAGGGTGAGGCCCTAAGCCATAGGATGGTGTCCTTATAAAAAGAGGAAGAGACACCAGAGAGCTCTTTCTCTCCACACACACACACACACAAGAGAGGCCATGTGAGGACATGGCAAGGAGGTGGCTGCCTGCAAGCCAGGAAGAGAGGACTCACCAGCACTCAGCCTTGTTGGAACCTTGATCTTGAATTCCCAGCCTTCAGAACTATGAGAAAATACATTTACATTGTTTAAGCCACCAAGTCTCTGGTATTGTTACAGCAGCTAGAGAAATCTATAGGGAGACATGTAAGTAAAGGGCTTCCCAGAAGGCACAGTGGTAAAGAATCCACCTGCCAGTGCAGGAGGATGTGGGCTTGATCCCTGGGTCAGGAAGACCCCCTGGAGGAGGGCAGAGTGACCACTCCAGTACTCTTGCCTGGAAAATTCCATGGACAGAGGAACCTGGTGGGCTATGACCCTTGGGGTCATGAAGAGTCAGACATGACTGAGCACACACATAAGCAAATGAAGTGAAGTCAGATGACTGAGAAGGAAAGGATGAGAAGTCACAAAGATGAAAGAACAAATAGAGCACATTTAGAAAGCAGGAAAATGAGGAGACGGGAAAGAAAGGTGGAGCTCTGACCCCAAAAGCACTGACAGCTTACTATCTTCAGGGAACCTACACTCTAGCATCACAGAAAAAAACTCAAATGTCTGCAATGCCAGGGTGATAAGCAGAACGTGAGAAGCAGCCCAGGAATGACAAAACAGGACTCAGTAAGCTGGACAGTGGACGGCTCATCTCAGGGAGGCAGCCACTATCCCAGGACCAGGGGAGGGGAGCCCCGGAAGAAGTGGAGCTGTGGTCCTGAGACTCAAAAGAAATATGACATGTACATTTTTGTGAAACACAGTAGACCTGGACTGTATCTTGCTAGCAGTTGTTTTTCTGTTTTTTAAATATTATTTTAGAAATTGTTTAAAACATTTTTTTTAATATTGTTGCTCTGTGCATTTCCCTACCCCACTTTGTTCCAGTCATAGGGTACCCTGCTGGCCTCCGGGTATTCCAGGCACCTCCCTGCAATTGTGCCTTAGCTCCTGCCCCTCTTCCGATTTCTCTAGGTCCTTTCCTTTTTTGTTCACCTTGTCTCTACATGGTTTTTAAGACTTAAATGCTCTTACATCTTTGGCTTTTCCTGACCACTGCAGAAAAATCAGACTGAGTGATCCTTTCCACATTTTTTTCCTTATGATGTACATACAATCTAACAGAAAGCTGCCCTGAAAAATACAACATTTGGACTTCTGCTTGCCTCCAAGATGGAGTAACATGGACCAAGTAAACTGCTCACCTAAAACAACCACAAATATTGGATAAAACATATGAAACCGTTTTCAAGACACTGAACCATAGGCAACAAAAGAAAGTGATAACAAAGAAATGGAAAATAAATAAGATCAGCCCTATGATCACCTAGCTTACTGCCTTGAGAGTTTCCAGGCTACAGCACAGACAGATGAAAATGGTGTGGAACGTGGCGGACTCCCTGAGTGAGGGCTAGGAGGCTGAGGAGAGCAGGAAGGCTATAGTTCACAGACTGCCAGAGAGGAGAGAATGGGAGAACGTGAAGACTTGCAAGGGTCCCCTACGAATATTCAGCAGAGTACAGGTGAACGTATACATCTGAGGACATGTCCTGAGGCCATGGACAGTATCTACTTCCATCAGCCAGGATGGAAAACCTCACAACTCAGAAGGCATTAGGTAGAATATCTAAAAGGGATTTTTATTAGTGGTGAAGAATAAACAGTCCAAGACTAAACACTGTTCAAGTCCTACCTAACAAATCTAGCTAAAAAGAAGCACAACTTAAACTCAAAATTATCAGAAATAAAGATCAGAGTGGAAATCAGTGAAACAGAAAATAGATTAAAAAATAAAGAGAAATCAATGGAAAAAAGCTTGTTATTTTCAAAAAAAATTCATAAATCATTTGCCAGGCCGACTGGGGAAACCAGAATAAAGAAATAAATTATCAACACCAGGAATTAAAAAGGCAATATTATTACAGATTCTATTCATATTAAAAAGATAATAAGGGGATATTATGAGTAGTTTATGTCAATAAATTAAACAACTTGCATGAAATGGAGAAGTTCTATGCAAGACACAGATTACCAATGCCTATATAAGAAGAAAAGAAAAGGCAGAGGGACCAGAGATCAAATTGTCAGCATTCGCTGGATTATAGAGAAAGCAACGGAATTTCAGAAAAACATCTACTTTTGCTTCATTGACTACCCTAAAGCCTCTGACTGTGTGGATCATGACAAATTTTGGAAAATCTTAAAGACATGGGAATACCAGACCACCTTACTTGTCTCCTGAGAAACCTGTATGCAGGTCAAGAAGCAACAGTTAGAACTGGACATGGAACAACGGACTGGTCCAAAATTGGGAAAGGAGTATGTCAAGGCTGTATATTGTCACCCTGCTTATTTAATTTGTATGCAGAGTACATCATGTGAAATGCCAGGCTGGGTGAATCACAAACTGGAATCAAGATTGCTAGGAGAAGATATGCAGACGGTATCACTCTAATGGCAGAAAGTGAAGAGGAACTAAAGAGTCTCTTGATGAGGGTGAAAGAGGAGAGTGAAAAAACTGGCTTAAAACTCAACATGCAAAAAACTAAGATCATGGCATCCAGTCCCATCACTTCATGGCAAATAGAAAGGGAAAAAGTGGAAGCAGTGACAGATTTTATCTTCTTGGGGTCCAAAATCACTGTGGATGGTGACTGCAGTCATGAAATTAAAAGATCTTTGCTTCTTAGAAGAAAAGCTATGACAAACCTAGACAGTGTATTAAAAAGCAGAGATATCACTTTGCTGACAAAGGTCCATACAGTCAAAGCTATGGTTTTTCCAGTAGTCATGTATGGATATAAGAGTTGAGTTGGACCATAGAGAAGGATGAGCACCATAGAATTGATGTGTTTGAATTGTGGTGCTGGGACTCTTGAGAGTCCCTTGGACTGCAAGGAGATCAAACCAGTCAATCCTAAGGGAAATCAACCCTGAATATTCATTGGAAGGACTGGTGAAGCTGAAGCTCCAATACCTTGGCCACTTGATGTGAAGAGCCTACTCAATGGAAAAGATCCTGATGCTGGGAAAGACTGAGGGCAGGAGAAGAGGGCAACAGAAGATGAGATGGTTGGACAGCATCGTTGACTCAAAGGATATGAGTTTGAACAAACTCTAGGAGACAGGCAAGGACAGGGAAGCCTGGCATGCTGCAGTCCACGCATTCGCAAAGAGTTGGACATGACCTAACAACTAAACAATAACAATATAAGAAATATGCAACCTTAATGGCCGTACTTGCATTAGACACATTGAACTTGTAGTTAAAATATTCTACTCCAGGCCCTGATAGCTTTACTAGTAAGTCTACTCAACATCTGAAGAAGAAAGAGTTACATCAGCAAAAACAGTGGTGGAAGGACTTCTGAAAAATTTCTCCTCCAAATAAGCTATGGGAAAACTGGCAAAAATGGTTTTTTAAAATTTAACTTTTTGAAATTTTGGAAATTAGCCAAGAGCTTGTAGTAACCTGGAGAATGTTTATTCAAGAATGGTTGACACTTGCTAAGAATTAATTTCTTCTCATGAAAAGAAGAAGAAATTGAAGGAGTTTGGAATGTGATGATTATAAATATGGAAAAATATATAGTGGAGGAGAGATTGGATAATTGGAATTAACACTTACGACTACATTATATTAAGAAGAGATTTCATTTATTCATTCAATTCACATATGAGCATTGACAAATAAAGGCCTTTAGTATTACTGATCATCTGAATTAAATCCTCTCTGATCAAAGCTGTTAATGAAGTAAAATATTCTGTGTTTCAAAAGAAACCCCCAGATTCAATATAAGATACATTAGCAACTAGGGAACACTAATATTATTTAAGGATTAAAACATATTTGTAGAAGCTTCATAGAAAACTCTGACTTAGCAGCAGATAAACACGTCATAGACGCATGAGATACAAAACGTAAAAGTTTAACACTTTCAAGAAAAAGGCTTAAAATTAACCTATACAATTTCTTCTTAGTATCAAGAGTATAGCTTTAACTAAAATGTGTAGATTGTTTGCACAGAAGTGACTGACATTTCTTAAAAAAATTTTTTTTAAGTATAAATGAGACAGGAAATTCAAGTAGAAAGTGGTGAGAGAAGTCCTATGTGGCTCATTTACATAGCCTGGTCAATCAGCTAATAAGCACATGTTAGGAACCAAATGGCAAAACTACAAAGAAACAACAAAAAAAATTAGCTTCTATCCATTTACTTGGGTACAATGGACTCATTTAAGTAAGTTAGAGAAATAAAGAAATGACTTTGTTACATACTGGGCTATAGCATTTCCATCTTCAAGTCGCCTACAGTTTTGAAATCATGAGAAATGTATCTTAATTCATCCTTACTTCTAAGAAATTATGAGTACAGGGAAAGCCCAAAGGCCTTAGATGAACCTGAGCACTGAGACATAACTGAACTTCTCGTGAAGATTTATTTTCAGAAGCTTGTGAAGTACTCTGTGTTCAAAAAGAGAAGCCTAGCTACCCTGACATGCTGGGATGCTTTCTGAGGCTTTTCTGAATTTTCATCTGGAGAGCATTGTCTGGCATCTTCGTATCATCTGAAGATATGTATCCAAAGTGATCAGAGTGAGGACAGAGTCTTTCATTCACATCTTAGGTAAAAGTTCTAAGGTATTTTACAAAACATGTTCAAAGAGAGCACTGTTCCCATAATGTATTCAAACATGGTCACTTCTGGTTGTTGAAACAGAGTTTTTGTCTGTACTGATCCAGCATGTTTTTTCATATGTGTGATCTGTCATTGAGTATACACACCTCAGAGTCAGCTATTATCTCATCAACTATTATGCAAACTTTCAATTATTCAGAGATTGGAACTGAAAACATACCTTGCAGATACAATAAAAAACAAAAAACGGAAAGACCTGGAACATGTCTCTGTGTCATGTGACAGGCAGAGTGAAAGTGTGGGGAGACCACAGATTAGGGAACAGAGGATCTGTGTTCTGGGACCGGGTCCACCTCTTCCTACCTCTCAGGTCATGTTTCTCCCCGTGCAGAGGAGGGGTAAGAGCAAGGGTCTGCAGGGGAATGCGGAGACTCAAATGTGGTGATGAGTGACTGTGCTCTGAAGCAACACAGGGCTTCATATATGATACATAATGATATACAGTCCTAGATGGGTTTCCTAGGTGGTGCCAGGGGTAAAGAACCTGCCTGCCTATGCAGGAGGACCAAGTTGCTTCAGTCATGTCTGACTCTGTGCGACCCCATGGAGCCCACCAGGCTCCTGTCCACGGGATTTCCCAGCCAAGAATACTGGAGTGGGTATAGCAGGATTCCTGAATAAATGTTTTCCTGAAGGACACTCAGTAGGCATTCCCTGTGTGTATGTGTGTGGAAGCATGTACCCAGATGTGGGAATGGTGATGTGGGATGGGAGGGCATGGCAGATACCCGAGCTGTTCAAGGTTGTTACATTCAGGTGACAGTTTGCTGGTGATGTATGAATGTGAAGTTTCAGCTTCAAATTAGGTACAATATGATCTGCAATGATAAAAACTGAGACATACTTTGCAACAGTTTTCAATATTTTTTTGAGGTAAAAGAGATTATCCATTTATGTATTAAGTAATGTATTAATAGCAAGTATCGAAAAAAAATACAAAACTTCCTAGAGATTTTTTAAAATAAACACTTTAAAAACTTCTCAAATACTTAAGGCATCTGTAAGAAATATACAAGGATAATATCCCAGGTATTAGCCTTTATACATTAATGCCTCAAAACGTGTGTCTCGTAACTTTTGTAGTGTGGTGCTATGAAGAGAGAAATGGAGAAACTGTCCTTAAAAGAAACACCAACTATTTATCACTGCAAATTATTTAGGAGGAAAAGCTGCTTACTGTGCCATGGACTCTGAGCTCAGTCTGAAATCTTGGGACTTGAATGACTGCTGTGAAAGAAAAACAAAGAATAAGTCACAAATCACAAAAGACAACACTGGCAATATGCACCTGCTGAAGACCCACCAACTGGCTGAATGAGGGGCAAGCAGGCCTGTTCTGAACACAGTGTCTATCAGCATAACCTGTTCACTCCCACAGAAAACCAAGGGAACAGCTCTTCAGATGGGTTAAGCACTCTTTGTAAATAAAGTGAGCTTTTAGGTGTGTGTCAAAAAGAGTCAGTTGTGAATCAGCCTAAATTAAGTCAGTGATGCTGTGTTGTATCACTTAAGTTGTGTGTTTACCTTCCACCACTGCATCTTTCCTTTGTAACCTTCCCACTGCACTCTGTATTTTCATGAAGCCACACACTGAAGTGTGTGTAGAATTCTGAATCTGCAAGCTCTTTAAATCTTCCACAAACTTTGCTCAGCCCGTTTTATTAACGGCACCTCCATGAGGAAATCAAATAAGCACTTTGAGTGGTGCCAGATTACACCCTGAGTTAGATGGTTCCTCTGCGCTTGTCTGTTCTTAGTCGCTCAGTTGTATCCGACTCTTTGTGACCCCATTAACTGTAGCCCGCCAGGCTCCTCTGTCCATGGAATTCTCCAGGCAAGAATACTAGAGTGGGTAGCCATTCACGTCTTCAGGGGACCTTCCCGATCCAGGGGTTGAACCCAGGTCTCCTGCACCGCAGGCAGATTCTTTATCACCTAAGCCAACAGGGAAGCCCCATTCCAAATCAAAGTATACTGTGGAACAACGGTGTTTGATATGAGACAGTATTTTAGAAATCAATTCAAGGTTGCCATAAAGCAGACTTGGAAATCTTATTTAGAGATAATTACATGTTATGGAAATGATCTACTTAAACTTCACATAGAAAATACAAATCTTACTGTGTTAAAGCTTTGAATTACATACGAATGAAAGAGATATACCATAATTATCTAATTAAATTCTTAAAAGTCCAGAAAACAAAAAAACACAAAACGAAGTGAAAGGAAAGGAGTAAAACTTTCTGTTTCAGTCTTAACTTCTTTGAGTAACTACTGCTTTCCCAGTCTTATCTCTACTGAAACTTGCTTTGCCTTTCTAGATTTCCTCCTTCACAATCAGATTTCAGCAAGATTTGGCACTGAGCACCTTTAGACAAGTATTACTTTTCTTATCATAAAGATTTCAAGAGGATTTTGTACTTTTCTGGACCATAATTATGTGATATTATTGCTAGCTATATAGCTTTAAATCAAGCATGTAATAAAAACAAGAGTTAAAGGACAAGGAGACTTAGTGGTGGAAGGTGGATGCTGTAGTGTTTTAAAGAACGTCAAAAGAACCAATCTTTTATTTTTCTCAACTATTTGAAGATAATCTGACTCAGTTAAAATGTGTTTGGGAAAAAAGTTACAAGTACACAGAAAATCTAAATTCAAGGACAAATGCAGATTGCAGAATAGTCTACCTGCCTTCAAGCCAACCCATCAAGAAGAAAACTATCAAAACCTCTCAGAAAGCATCAATTATAACCTAATTTTTCCAGTTTTTTCTCAGGCTTATGGAATGAATTCCAAACAGTGCAATCAAATTCATGGTAAAATGCTTCTTTTACATGGTCTAAGTATTACTTCCCTTTGCCCAATGCAAGAGCAACATCTTAAATAAATGTATATATATACAGTTGTCCCTTAGTATCTGAGGAGGATTGGTTTCAGGACACTCCACCCACCCCCCAGATACCAAAATCTACAGATCCTAAAAGTGACTTATATAATGGTGTAGTATTTGCATATAACCTAACAACCTCCTGTATACTTAAACTCATCTCTATAGATTACTTATAAATACATAATATGATACAAGTGCTATGTAAATAGTTGTAAATACAATGTAAATGCTAAGTAAATGGGTGCCAGTGTGGCAAATTCATTTTGCTTTTATGGAACTTTCTTGAATTTTTTCCCATGTAATTGTGAACCATGATTGGTTGACTTTCTAGATGCAGAACCTGTGGGTAAGGAAGGCCGACTGTATACATGAAATGTTGTAAAATCAGTGGATTAAAAAAGAAAAAAAAAAACCAAATCATGGCTCTAATCAGAGTTTGGGTCTACTCCAGAGGTTGAGGGAAGAAAAGTCAGACTGAATTATCCATCACTGTTGAGTCAGTGTTGCTTTTCCCTGCTGTGCTGTGACCCTGATGAACAAGTAACAACATTTGGCCACATGCAGGTCTTTGCAAACCTGTTTTTAATAGACTTTTCATGCGAAATGGGTGCTGTGATGTCCTCAGAAATCTGACTTAAGCAGGTTAAGCTCTGTCCTTGCCCCATTTCCTACTGTGTTCCTGCATTAGTATGGTGGGCACATCCAGGTCCTTTCTCAAGATGCAAAGGTTGTTTTAACCTGGGTTCAAATTCCATGAACCACAAATTACTAGGGGATCCACATTACAAAGGTTTAACACTGATTTGTAAAAGGACACTTATTTAATTAGGACCAAAACTTCAGTTCTAAATACCTTTACTCACTCATTCCTTGGTCTCAGCAGCAGCGGGCCATATGGGCAGTTATTCATGGAGGCAGGAGGAGGGGGAAGAAGGACATGTCTCTGTGAGCTGTTTTGTTTCACTTTATTTTTAAACAAAAAAGCCCCCAAGGCTATGAGACAATCAGCCCATAAGCATCCCCCACCATCAAGGCCAAGGAGCATGACTGCCCTTCTTTCCCTCCTGTCCACTCACACCTCTCAGCTGTTTGGGGACTTAATTTCCTCTTCATGGATACCCTTGATTTGGAGAGGAGGGGATGAAGAGCGGAAGATGAGCAAAGCAAAGGAGATGAATGAAAGGGTCAGAATCTATTGACTCTTGCTTCCCAAACCCTCACGATTTCTAGTGATGCTCGTAAATTTAGATGCAGTGAGACAAACATGAAAGGAATGATTAATGGAATGATTTTCAGTGCCTCCCTTGATTACATGGAGATTTACCAAGGAGAAGCAGCTCATAAATAACTGTGTAAAAAAGAAACAGGCCATGCAAACAACTCACCCAAATATTTCTATAAACTTGAAGAGTGAATGTAAAATTAGGTAGATATTTGATCAATGTAGCACACCAGCTTTAAATAAGGCAAATTTATGATACAATATAGCTTTATTTTTATGTGCTGTTTATACACCTCCTGATTTTCCAAAGAATTAATAACTGCAATTTCTTTTTATACTCACTTGTAGGAATTTTTTTAAAAGAGGAAAAAAGCCCAACAACCTGGGCTGTTGGTTAAATTATAATCTTGATTCTGTCCTTAACTCTATGTGGCCCAAGGAAGCCACTTAACTTCTCCCGAGGTCTGTTTTCTACTTGAAAAAGTACAGGAGGTGCTCAGAATAAAAGCATGAACTATCATAGCACCATTCTTCCATTTTACAGATGAGGAAATGGAGGCCCAGAGTTACCAAGATTATAGAAGTAGCCTGAAGGTTATAATCCTGTATTTCAAACTGATTTAACAGTTTAGTTTAACAGCTAAGCTCTTTTTCAATACAATTCTGTTTGAAAGCCTCACATACAAACACTTAAACACCTAGAATTTCTCTAGGTGAATTGAGGTTTGGAGGCCAGGCAAACCTTGCCTCCCTAGATCGACTCCCCAGAGCCCAGAGGAACAGGGCGCTACAGAGAAGAGTTTACAAACTGCTCCACTACACAAGCTCTTTCAGGTTTTCTCTCCTGCCAAAGTTGTGTTTGGATAGGGGGGGATAATTTTATGATTTTAAATATTCATATAAGTTTGCTGTTGATCCTTTGATTTTAGAATTTATTATTGGTTCTATGAGCTGTATTTGGCACTCAATCTTCCAATTATGCTTTTCCTTAAGAACAAAATATTCCTTTGCATTAAGATGTAGTTTCTAGAAGTATATTGTTGTTTAGTCACTAAGTCATGTCTGACTCTTGCGACCCCAAGGACTGTAGCCCACCAGGCTCCCCTGTTCAAGGGATTTTCCAGGCCAGAATATTAGAGCGGGTTGCCATTTCCTTCTTCAGGGGATCTTCCCAACCCAGGGATCAAACCCACATCTGCTGCACTGGCAGGCAGATTCTTTACCACTGAGCCACCAGCGAAGCCCCTTCTAGGAGTATATTAAAACAAAAAGTGAAAGCCTTCATCTTGATTCATGATTTGTAGTTTTGGATACTAATTATGCCAGGTAGGAACAACAAATATTGAGTTGGCCAAAACGTTTGGGCTTTTCTGTAAGATGTTATGCCAGATACTTAACAGAACGCCACTCTAGGGGCAAGGAGTATGCTACACACCCTGGGGATGCAAAGCTAAGCAGGTTCTAATATCTTATACTCTAACAGGGAAAGGCATGGAGATAAGCAATGAGGCAGAGAAAGACCCACATTACGATAAGGAGAAAAGAAATGTGCAGATATAAAAGAACAGAAGGCCTGAATTGCAACTGGAGGCTTCAGAGAAGGATTCTCAGTGGAGGAAACATTTAGCTAACTCCTAAGGAATAAACTGAAACTGTGACCACTGGAGTGGTGCAAAAACTATACAGTTGGAGAAACTGGGGTAAGCAGAGGCTGGAGGCTTTGTGTGTGCAAGGGAGTGTGCTCAAGGAGGATGATTTGGGAGATGAGGAAAAACTGGTCAGAATGTCTATTCAAACGTTGAAGGATGAGAGGTAGATTAAAATTTATGAGATTTGGACTTTAAAGGCAAATAGAGCACCAGCTAAGATTTCTGAGCTGATAAGTCACATGACTTGACTTCTATATTAGGAGCAGAAAATAGTGTACTTCTGGTAGGCAGGTGAATAATGCAGTAAAGACTGGGGTATGGGAGCTGGTGGCCTCCCCAGGCAGGGGTTGGGGGCTGTTTTGCATCATCCTTCCCAGGCTCCTCTCCTGCAGCACACACTTTAAAAGAACTGCACCTCTTCACGCGTTCTAGTCTTTATCCTTTCCTTCCGTATTCTCCTCTGTTC